TTAGTGTTTTTATTATTAAGAACTAGTGCCAATATATATATTTTTTGATTTTAAGCTATGTGTATGGATATACTTTTCTCTGACTGTAATCCCAAAAATCAAATCCTTGATTATAAAATTTCTCTCCGAAAATGTAAAGAAACATAATTTTCATATTTAAATTAACTAGTTTTTCTTAAGTTTTTAGAGTTAAATATGCTTTGCAAATTATCCTTCCTTTACTACAAAATGCAACAAAAGAAAAGACAAGTCACTAGAGTTTTTCCATATATTGAAACGAGAAGTAAAACGTTTGTGTATGGCAATTACAAGACTTTAGAGCCTAAACATCCTTCTTTTTTTTTGCATAATTAAGTATGCAATTTGATAGTGTACAAATGAAATTACTTTCAAAGTTTTTCTATGCTTCTTTTTCTTGTCTGTCTATCAGAGTTGCGGTTTAGCGGGACGCCAAAATCCTTTTCGACAAACCAAAAACCGATCCTGGTATACTTTGGTTGACCAATGAATCGAACCAAATATGGATTCAAGCTTCTTTATTGTTTCTATGGTGTCTTGTACCACAAGGTATCCAGCTGGTCTCACTATCCGATCAATCTCAGCTACTACTTGTACAATGTCACACCTGAAAATTTGAACCCAAAAACACCAACAAATGGTCTGTGTTAGGTTAAACCACACTAACCGCAATATCAAACCGGCTTCTTGGAACGAAACAGATTCTAAAGAATTGAAACTCGAGAGAGAGAGAGACGAATTCGGATCTGTTGTTTACCTTTGTGTGAGATCTCCAAGGAAAAAACTGGAATGTAGAAGATCGTATGTTCTAGGGTAAGTGTTGAAGGACTCGCACCAATCTTGATAAACACCGATCAAGCCTCGATCGAAGACGACAGAGAGAGTGTCTGGTTTATCCACAGGAACAACATTCATTACCCATAGTGGTCGATTTATAAGCGCAGCAGCGAATCTATCAGCAAAACATACCAAAAAGAAACCATGTCAGTTTCGGCTTGGGATAAAACTGGATTCTGTTTAAATTTTACAGAATTTAAAATTACCCGCCAAAGCCGGCATTCATGTCCATCACATTCCGCACGCTCGACCAGTTTACAGCTAGGCGTTCAAGATAAACATCAGATACAATTGCTGACCATTTCTCTGTATCTTTCTTTAATGTTTCCGCTTCAACCGAAACATTTTGAGGTTTAACACTCACAAGCCGTTTAGGCCATAGTTCAGGCCAACTCTGGACATTTCCGCTCGGTAATTTGGAAATGCATTGGCGGAGAGGAGCATACCTAAAATTAATCAAAGAGGAAATGATATAAAATGTGAACATATATGTGAATGTGAAGCATCATTTTGTACAAGTGTTTTATACCATGAAGCATTCACTTCCTCTTTACCACATAGAGGTGGATCTTGCATGCTGCGTTTCTTATAGCATGATTCTGAAGTTGGCTTTTGATAGATCACAAGTCCGATTCCCGAGGAATCAACCGTCTTTGCCACAACCTTCCAGCAAATTGATTTAGTCAGAGAAACCATTGCTGCAACACAGAAATTGTAACAATTAAAACCATAGAGATCAAGACCAATGTTGAATAACTTATCAAGAAACTGAATGTTACGAACCAGTCCAAATCTTGCTATCTCTGTCATTATCACGATAAACCGGCGTTGCAGACCATATGAAGAAACCTCCTGGTCTAAGTACCCTATTAAGCTCCAACAATGGTTTCCCACCTAACAAATTAAACCGGAAAAGATCAGGAAAACTCGAAGCTTAAGCGCTGAGAGAGAGAGAGAAAAAAAAAGGAAGACAAAAAATACCATCAGCATCCCAATGGACTCGACACCGTGCACAATGTATAAGATCAAACGCGTTGCTCGGGAATGTAAGCTGCTGCGTCCCAATAACTGAAAGTGTTGCAGGTATTCCTCGTTCTAGCGCAAACTGAATCTGAGCTTCATGTTCATCTTTAGGAGCAAATGACATTGTAATGACATCTTTATCTAATAAAAACCCGCCAAAGCTAGCAACACCGCAACCAACATCTAATACAACCCGTATATTTTTCCCCCATTTGATAATCGGTAAAGCCTGTGAAAATGCGAAACGAATTCAACACATAGGTATATTCTTTTGATTCAAACAAACAGGGGAAACAACACACACACAAAAAAAGTACTAACCTTTTCGATGAACTCAACGTAATGAGTAACCCCTAATTTAAACTGAGTACCTCCTCCAGGAAAAACTAGAAATTCACCTTCTTTTATAACCCAATTCTGTTCCTTCTTGTATTCAACAAGCTTAGGGTGAGGAACATTGTCATACCATATCTACACAATAAAAAACGAAACACTCAAAGAAATGTTCCAATAGCCCAAAGATAACCAATTCATGTGAACTAATACAACTTCAAGTTTGTTCATAAGCCTTAAACTTTGAATCTATCTATCTTCTTTCCTTTTACAGCAACTTCCATAGTTATACTTCAAAACACTAATCTTTTGAATATATACTAAAATAGGTTTACTTGCAGAACTAAACTTAAATCATATATCTTCAGATCCAGCTGATTAAATTCTAGAAGACATATTAAACTCCAAATCTTACCAAAAACAAAAACAGGATCTGTCTCTCACCATATCCCGGCTCTTAGGCCACGGAACCGGCGGTTTATAATTAACCGGCAAAGGTACAAGACATTTAGGGCTTGGTTCAGGGCAATGTCTTTCTCGATGTTCCATATGTCTTCTCGATTTGAGCTGTTTAATGGCAATGTAATTATCCAGACAAGGTATGTAATCAACAGATTCTGCGCCTTTGCATAGATCCCATTTCAGCTCAACCTCGTGGGAAGAAGTGTTTAGCTTTGTCTTCTTCTGAGGAGGTGGAAGAGTTTGATCGGAAGAAACGTCGACGTTTTGAGGATTTGGGGAATTGGGTTTTGGTGTGTAATCAGCAGTGGAGAGAGAAGGGAAAGGGAATCTGGCGTTGTCGGAAGTGAAGAGGAAGATGGTGATGGCAACGAGGAGAGAGGAGAGGAGTAAAACGACGACGTGTTGTACTGATATCGCCATTGAAGAATGATCATTAGAGAAGACAGAGCGAGTCTCTCCGAGACCGCGTTTAATGGAAGAAAGTGAAGCTCGAAAAGTCGCAACTTTCACATTTCGATTTCGATTTCGATTCTGCAGAAGAAGAAAAATAATATAAAATTTGTTTCACCAGTAAAATATTTTTTTTTAATGCACCGACATAGTAAAAAGTAGCATTTGTGTCTGAAAGATCTTTTTAATTGACTTCTGTAATGATAATTCATTTTTGTTTCCTTTTTTTTTCTGTATCAATTGCCAGAAAAAAAAAATATTTTGTTGAAATTATTTTTAAACCAGTATATATACACATTTCTCAATTCCCAATATAAGATATTTGTAATAACAATGTKTGATGCAAAAGAATGAAATCTTTATAAAATCATAATGAATGTATGATTGATATGTAAACCGCTCAATGGGTGAAAATAACATGTCTCAAAAAAAAAACACAACAAATCCTCTCGGAGGTTTTTTTTCTACTGAACTGTCAAGTTTTAGAAGCAAAATTCTCAAAACTGTTTTGAGATTTGGGTAATCGGCAATGGAGAGAAAATTAGTCGGAAACCGGCAAATCTTCTTACTCAATGATTCCGGCGCCACCATCGAGATCCACTTCGCCCATCCC